AAGGAGAGAAGAAGTGTGTCCTTGTTCTCTGATGGCTTCTTGCTGCCTGTCCAAGCTGCTCAGGTATACCTCCCCTTCCTCAAGGCCAGGGATAAGCTGCCTGTTTCCTGCTGCAGCTCTGGCGGCTGTGAGCTCAGCATTTCCAGGGATGGTCCATGGGCCCTGAACATGTGCCTCCAGCATCACCTCTTCATGGCTGACTTCTCCTCAGCTCCTATGCTCTCTGTCCCCACCTCCTCTGCCTCAGGCCTCTCAAGTTGTACTGAATTTCCTGCCATCACTTGACTTCTCCACACCTGTGTGAGCCACAGACACTGGAACGTAAGGCCAGCAAAGCCCTCTGGACAGCGTCTGCACCTCTCCCTGCCTCAGTTTCATTTCTGAGGGCAATTGCTTTCATCGTTAATATAGTGCCCAGGAAAACAGGCAGTCAGCGCGTTTATTAAGTAAACAGAAGATGGAAGTTCTGCATCCTCAGCAGCTGCCAGTGGTTTGCCCTCCATCAAGGTAGGTGGGGTCAAGGCCCAGCCTTCCTTACACACAATACTACTCCAGCTTTATCGGACCCTTGTTTTATTATCTTTTGTCCTAATATCATTTATGTTGATGTGATGAAAACATCCTAATAACCAAAAGCAACTTAGGTGGGGAAAGGGTTAATCTGGCTCACAATTCCAGGCTATAGTCCCCCATTGGTGGGGAGTCAAGGCTGGAATCCAAAGCAGCTATTCAAATCACATCCACAGTCAAAGGCAGAGAAAATAAATGTATCCCTGCTGCTAGCTTTCTTATGTTCAGCTGGTGGCTTTGCTTTTACGCTGTTCAGAACTTCCTGCCTAGGGAAAGGCGCCGCCCACAACGGGCGTCCCCACAGGCCAATCCAATCCACTCAGTTCCTCAAGTGAGTCTCTTTTCAGATGATTTCAGGTTGTGGCAAGTTGACATTTAAAGTCAAAGAGAACATCTTCCATCTTAAAAAACAAAAACAGCACTTTATTGAAGTGTGTTTGGCATGTGAAAAACTGTTTACATTTAATGAATACAACTAGGTAGATTGGGGTGAAAATACACCTGTGAGACCTTCACCTTTTCCGGAGCCTCAGTTGGGTCTGGTGGTACTATAGATAGTCCCAGATACACAAGGGATTGAGGCAGGAGTGCTATAAATTCAAGTCCTACCTGGGCTAGAGTGAGTTCAAAGTCAACCTACGCAAGTCATTGGGGTCCTGTCTCAAAATAAAAAGTACAAAGAGAGCCTGGCCTCCAAGTGTATGTCTATGGCCTTTGTACCCGGGAGGTGGAAAAAGGATTAGAAGATCAAGGTGGCCGGGCAGTGGTGGTGCACGCCTTTAATCCTAGCACTTGGGAAGCAGAGGTAGCTGGAACTTTGTGACTTCAAGGCCAGCCTGTCTACAAAGTGAGTTACAGGACAGCCAGGACTGTTACACAGAGAAACCCTGTCTCTAAAAAAAAACCAAACCAACAAAACAAACAAACAAACAAAAAAGTTCAAGGTCTGTCCTCCAATACACAGGGAGTTTGAGGCCAAGCTACCTAGGCTACTACATAAGAACCTTTCTCAAAACAAACCAAAAGTAATAGGGGGCTGGAAGTGTGGCAGGTGTAGCCTCCAACTGCACCTCTAGCTCCCCTACGTGACCTGGTGGTATTCTGGATCTTCTCCCCATCTTTACTCTTCCGGGTGACCACACCAGCCAACTTTAAATCCCACTCCTACCCCAAGAACTCCAGAACCTTCACCTCCAGCCTCCAACAGTCCTTTCCAACAGACATGGCTACAGGGTGCCTCAAATTTCTGACATCCCAAAGGGAATCGGGTTTGCTCTGTCTCTTCCACCCTGCTCCTCACAGCAGGTGGTCATGCCCTTCCCCCTTCACACACACACACACACACACACACACACACACTCCACAAGTAAAGCCTTTCAGCTCCACTTCCTACCTCAATCAACAGGCAGGATCCGGAATCCTACTGAGTGAAGTCCTCCTTCCACAGGACCAATCATATTTAAATGTAAATCACCCTCCATTAGCCTGAGCCTTTGAACTCTGTCTCTGACCTCCCCGCCTGGCCCCAGCACTCTCCACTCTGCAGATTCTCTCGCAGCCCCGCCTGCTATGACAGCAGGCAGACACTTCCCTCTCCATACCCGCCACCATTCCCTTGGCCACCATTCCCTCGGCCACATACACCACATGGTGCCTCCCTCTTCTTTCAGGTTCAAATGTCACCTCTTTAGAGAGGCCTTCCTGGGAGCTGTACACAACACACCACCTGCTTGTTTCTGTCTGCCCTGCCCCCCACCAGGGTTACTTTCCCCCCAACAGCCAGCACAGCACCCCATCATAAGATACTGTCCGTTTCCTTGGTAACTGTCTTCCCCACCTGGGTGTGCCTCTGATGAGGGCAGGGCTTTTTTCTGCTCTTCAGTGCTTAGACCTCTGCCTGGCATATATCAGGAGACCAGAGGGTGTTTATTGTGCCCATGCATAAATGAATGAATGAATGAATGCATAGCAAACCCTAGAAGGCGGGGGCTCTTCTGGTCTCATTCATCCTCCCTGGCTTGACTGGCCTCTGGTTGCCCAGCCTGGGGCAGGGTACACCGGAGCTGCTCATAAATGTGGTTGACAGAGAGGCAATAAACATTTTCTGAGCAAATGAGTAACCAGGTTTCTGCCACTCGGGCGCTGCTGAGAACAAAGAGGAGGCTTTGAAAAGCTGGTGCTCCACTCTGGAGAGACCTTAGTCCCTGGTGACCCTGGCCTAACTCTTCCCAACCCAAGGCTGTCCCCTCCTATGGCTGTAAATGCTGTTGGTTCCTTTTGGACAGGAACCATGAAAAACTATAGAAGCAACACTGGAGTGAACCTTTACAGTAATGCATGCAGACTCTGGCCAAGGACCCCAGCATCCGACACTCAAATTCCTCCCTAATCCTGTCTTATATAGGCACCACACACCCTCACAGCCAACAAAACAAAAGCTCAGAGACTGAATGGCTTGTTCTAGGTCTCCGTGTTAGTGAGTGGCAGGGGTGAGACTTGACCCTAGTCTTGGGATTCCCCAAAAGCCCAATTTATATAAGTCTCCTACACATACATAGGTCTCGTTCAGCCATCATTGCAATGTTATTAGTTAAACAGTATGCCCAGTTCACAGGTCTGAGACCTGAGTCACAGAGGACAAGTAACTTAGGTCACCCTAGCGTCATCCGTGACAGTACATTACCTTAAACACTGTGTCTACCAACTAAAGATTTAGATTGCAAACTTCTGTTTAGGAGTGAATTTGCCCTAGACACTCAGGAGGGGAGTCTCTAGAACAAGCAACAGAAATTGTGAATTCCACTCAGCCTGCCTGCGTCTCTACCGAATCTCCCCTCTCAGTTTCCAGATGATCCATCCTAGCAGGGGAAAGCTGTGGCTGTGTCTGAGACAGCAGGGCACAAAGTCCAGCCCCGGCCTTGCTCACTAAGATAACTGCCCTGCCTAGGACATGGGAGCATTAATAGGTAATGACTCAGAGGCGGAGCCTGGACAGGGAAATGAAGAGGCCTGGGGCCCTCTAGGACCAGGAAAGGAAGACTAGCGATGTATGTGGAGCCAAGCCAGGCATCAGAGACCCTAGGGGTGGTTGTCTCAAAAGAGGTAAAGGGAAGGGAACAGCACTGCAGGAAAGCAAAGGAAAAGCTGAAGTTACTCCTAGCCCAAGGCCAGGAAAGGGAAATTTAAGCTCTGACAGGACAGGAGCCTTTAAAGTGGGTTGCTGAACCTGACACTCAGCAAGCGTCTGTCCCTGGGCTCACAACGCACTACTGAACACAAACGGATCCCTTGACGTTCACCAGCTCCCCATTTCTGCTCACCTTTCAGTCACTTCTCATTCCTGGGCGTGGGTGCAGGAATGCCCAAGGCGTTTACCCTTGCTGCCCCTACCAAACCTTGACCCCAATGCTCTGTGCCCAAGGCCTGTCTCCCATCGATACGCCAAGCCACATGAGGGAACAGACTTAGTCTGACACAAATTGGGTGCTCAGAGCATGCTTCAAGGGAATGGTTGACCCCTGCCGTTGGACCTAAGCTCTTGGCCTGTAACCTCTGTGGTCCCACAGTGGCCAGTTTCTGGGCATTTGTGGCAAGGAAGCGGGAGAGGGGGGGCGGCACCTAGTCTTTGCTTCAGGCACTCTACCCCTCAGACAGGGAAGGGGTTCATTCAGCTTGGTGTCAAGCCCCAGGGTACACAGCAGCTCCCTACTCCTTGGGCAGGACCTTTGAGTAGCTGTTGACACTGGCTTTCCCCGCAACTGGGGTCTGGGAGGAGGTCCACCACTGGGTCCCTGCCTCTCGGTGGCCTTCAGTAGCCTCCACAGACCCTGCAGTCTGGGAAACACTTTAGGAAGTTCTTGGAGGATTTTAAAGAAGCAGTGTGGTCCTTCCCTGGGACATACCCAGGGGAGCAGGATTCTACTAGTAAGGATCTCTTAGAACAAAGCCAGGCTCTTCACACCCTCAACCCCTTCTTGATCCTTCCCCTGAAGTCTGACTGGTTTAAAACTGTCCCTCCACCTGTAGAACTTTCCGAATGCTGGCAGGGGTCTCCCAGTTACTCTGGAGGTCAAATGGCAACAAAAGGCTCAGTTTCCCTTCTGGCCCAGACACTTGCTGGGGCCCAACAGACTCCTGGGCTGAGGACAGCAATAAGGAAGGGACTTGCCCACTAGTTGGGTTCTCTGTCCAGTTCCCAGCCCCTGGAGGGCCAAAGGAGAACCAGCATTTTCTGGAGAGGGTCAGTTTAGTAAACCCTTATAGCAGGACTCCTAGTGTTCCCCTCATCTTGCTGGGGACACCCCATATCCACTTTCATAAGTGCAAGCCTGTCCAGGGCCCTCAGACAAGGAAGAGGGTTTTTGTCCATCTCTCACCCACCCGACCCCACTCCACAGTTCCCAGCACTCAGGGCACCTTTCTGCTCTGACCTTGTGTCTGAATTCCCGGGCCACCTTCCGGTCCATGGCTGAGCCTGATCCAGTCGCCTCGCAGCTCAACTCGCTCCTTAGGGTGCCTGTCTGCGGCGCTCGGGTGGGTCAGCCAGACCGAGGGCCTGCCTTCTTCGGGGCTGGGGCGGGTCCGGGGAGAAGCAGGGGCGGGGCTGGGAGGAGAAAGTGTAGCCTGGAGGCGGGGTCACCTGTCCCGGAGTTCGGCACCCAAGCTCTGAAAGGAAAGGAGCTCGGCTTTGTGGATGTGCTAACGGTGGCTTGGTTAGTGAGGGTGGTGTTTCTTTGGAGTGGTTCCCCCACACGTGGTTAAGGCAGAAGACTGAGGAGAGGAGAGGTCCGGCAGAGGGGGTAGGAGGTAGTTTGAAATTTCTTTTTCTTTTTTGAGAGAGTGTCTCATGTAACCCAGGCAGGCCTTGAACTCAATATGTAGCCAAGGATGGTGGCCCTGAAATCCTGCTTCTCCTTGCCTCTACCTCCCAAGTGCTGGGATGACAAACCAACGTGCCCAGCTGAGGTTTGGAGCTTTCTGTGGTGGCCCTGTCACAGAGGATGGGAGACACTTCATGTAGGTGAACTCACAGGTAGAAGCCATTGCTTCTCCACCCCACTCTCACCCCAGGCACCCCGCCCCCCTCCTCCCTGACTCCATGCGTGTCTCACAGTCGGCTATGTTTCACCCAGGCCTCTTCCCAGTACAAAACTTCTGGGGGGGAGGGGGGCGCTGCAGACTGGGTCTTACTGTGTTCTGTGGGGACCTGCCACTGTGGAGGAACGCCCCAACCACTGACTCCTTTTCCCTCCCAGCTTCCTTAGCTGCTCTGTCTCCTACAAAACAGGAAGTAACCCAGCACACACATTCACTGGTGTGTCCTGGGACCTGTGGTCCTTGTGCCTGACTTTAACAGAGGAGGTACCTGGCATGGCCCAGAGCAGGTAGGTACTTACAGCTGTAACTTCAGAGACATGAGAAGGCTCTTTAGATCCCTCTGCCATTTGTCAGGGTTTAGCAAGCAGTCTGAAGCAGTCTGTTTTCATGGGGGCTAAATTATGGCCTAGAATAAGGTATAAATTATGCCCGGGAAAATAACTTGGAAATAAGATCTGTATTCTCACCTTCTGATCTAATTTTATTTGGGTGTTGTGAAAAACACTCTGCCCAGAAGCAACATGGGAAAGGGAAGGGTTGTTCCATCTTCTGTTTCCAGGTCTTATTCCATTGTTGACAGAAGTAAAGGCAGGAACTGGAGTAGGCGCTTCACACAGAAACTCTGTACGAACGCTGCTCTGGCTCACGTGCTCCCAGGCGCACACTTAGCCAGCTTGCCTATGAAGCTCAGGACCACTTGTCTAGGGATTGTGCCACCCAAGGTGGGCTGAGCGGTTCTGCATCAGTTAATAACCAAGACAATCCCCATAGACAATCCCATAGGCTAACCTGACCCAGGGGAGTCCTCAGTCAAGGCTTTCCTCTCAGAGGAGGCTAGGTTGTATCAAGTTGACAGTTAATGGAAACTAAGATTCTTTGCTATTTACTTGGTAAGTCAGAGAGATCTGTGAGGCATTTAGTGGTCCAGAGAAGACCACACAAGATATAGTCCTCTTTTGGTTTATGTCTTTGATTCTCTGCTTTTCTTTTTCTTTTCTTTTCTTTTGAAAGTTTATGTGTGTGTGTGTGTGAGTGTTCTGCTTGCATATCAGTATGTATACTGTGTGTGTATGTGTGCCTGGTGTCTTTGAATAATGAAGAGGGTTCCTGGAACTGAAGTTATGGACAATTGTATGCCATGTGGGTGCTGGGAACTGAACCCCAGTCCTCTGCAGGAGCAACAAGTACTCTTAACCACTGAGCCATTTCTCCGGCCTCTTCTGCGTTTTTTTTTTAAAGATTTATTTATTTATTACGTATACAACATTCCTTCCATGTGTGCCTGCAGGCTAGAAGAGGGCACCAGATCTCATTATAGATGGCTGTGAGCCACCATGTGGTTGCTGGGAATTGAACTCAGGACCTCTGGAAGAGCAGTCAGTGCTCTTAACCACTGAGCCATCTCTCCAGCCCCTCTTTTGCATTTCTTAAGTATGTCATGTGGATGTTGGTTTTATATTTAGAACCCAGAACAAAGAATGTCCTTACCCAGAAGAACACAGCCACAGCCGCCTGGCCCTTCTTTCTGGTAACCATAGACATCTTTTAAAAACTACTCTCTCCTTGATGTTTAGTGCAGCACTGGGTCCTGGTTCCCTTTCTACAGTTGCCTCTGTTCTGAGCCCACCCTGCACTCTGCAGGACTCTCCTTGACTCCCAGCCAGTGTCTGCAGGAGGCCAACGTACATGCCATATGTTTAGAGCAGTAAGTGGCACAAAATAGACTCTCAACAAATCTGCTAAACGAATGTGTTCATCCCAAATTATACCCCTACCCAGGGGCTTGTGAGGGGCCAGCTCTTTCTAGACACAAATTACCTCTTGTTCATAAGACCAAAGTTGCTGTCATCCTTCTGGTCTTTGTTGTCCCCGTTTGAGCCCTTATGGGGTGTAGGGTGGTGATTTGGGGCCCAGATGGAAGCCACAGTGGGGAGCTATGGAAGCACAGACTCGGACTCTGCAAGCCCGAGCCCTGTCTCTACCACTGACTGCTGAGTGGCACATCCCAGGTCTCAGTGTAGCCTTCTGTAAAAGGAGAGAAGTAGGTAGTTCCAGACTGTACCGGAATATCTGCTCTCCAGTGGAGGGGATTTCTAGGCTTTAGGTGAGGGAATTGGAGTTGCTTCGTTACCTCCTTGCTCCCCAGGAGTCTTCCCTGGGGAGAGGTAGTTACAAAGGCAGTGAAGGACAGGGGCTGGGCTATAGCCTGGCTCCTTACTTATGGTAATGAGCTGGGCAGTCCTGTTACTCCAGCCTGGGGAGGAGTCTGGTCCTTTGAAGGAGGGCCTCAGGGAGCCGCGGGGCAGAGAGCTGAGGGACAGCTGCTGTGAGCGGAGGTGTGACCCACCTTAGGAGCAGAGCCCTGCACCAGGCTCTCGGTCCGCTGGCACCCTGATGGGAGTCCCTGCTACCAGACTATGGTTGCTTCTCTCTTGCTTCTGTCTGTTCAGGGTTGAGCCTGCAGCGGAGTTCATGCGGGTGCAGCGTCAGGGTGAGAAGAGGGTGTGAACTGGGGGAGTCCATCCGGGGCTGGGGGGATGTTTAGGGGACCAGGTCTGGGCAGCTTGGAGAGAGAGGGGAGTGAGATGGTGTGAGAAAAGGGGAGGCAGGTATTGAGACACCCATGCCGGGAACCCAGATGGCTTTAAGTTAGGTCAGACGAGACCCAGGGAGGAGAACTAGAGAGAACTGAGGTCCAAGGAGTAGAAGAAAAGAGGAAGACCTTCTTTGAAGAATCCTGGGAGCTAGAGAAAGGACTGGAGAATGCTGGGTGTGGGGCGCAGGCTGTGCTGGGTTGAGGGGGTCAGACTTCCCATCGGTGGGAGAACACAGTGGGAGCCCCAACAGAGGGGCTTGCCTGCAGGGGAGAATGTCCTCTTTTCCCAGCACCAGCCTTTACATGGAAAGCTGGTGTAGAGTTGCCACGGGAGCCTGCTCCTGAGTCCAGGTGAGTCTGGCAATCCCCTGCCTCACCCGCTGTCACAGGGTTTAGCATAGGGGGAGGGCTGGGCTTCGGGTAGGTGGAAGCCAGACTGCTCCTAACTCCCCACCTATGGCAACCGCATTTCTCATCTAGCCACAGCGACCAGGGGATGCCCCTTGCAGAAGATGTCACAACACTGATGGAAGGCCAGGTAAGAGATGTCTGGGGGAAGCCTTGTCACTGGGCAAGGGGCTTCTTTTTCAGCCTGAGGTAATCAAAGATCTTTCTTAGGTGTTTGTTTTCTGGAGAACAGCAAACATTCCTGGGGTCTTAATGTGCAAAATCATGAAATCTGTCTGTTTCTGTTTCCCAGTCTCTTAGGTCCCTAGTGGGGTTTTTTGTTTGTTTGTTTGTTTGTTTAGAGGTGGGCACAAGGCCCTTTTTCAAGAGAAGAAAGTTGAGTTCCCTTCCATCCCAGAGGATAGCAAGCCACTGAGGGTTTAAGAGAGTGGCGTTCTTTTCCCTGTCTGGCTCAAAATCCTATCCCAGGCCCCCTCCATTCCCTGTGCAGTACCCCAGGGAGGCAAAACTCTGAGAGGCAAGGCAAAACCTGGGCCACCTGCTGGGGGCTGCAAGGAAAGACTCGTTAAGGAGCAAAAGCCAGAAAGGTGGATAGAGCTAGAGGAAGGGCATTTGAAGCTGTCCTCTGACCTGCGCACTGTCATGTGCATACACACACATGTACATGTACATCCACACGCATGCATACATGCATGCACAGACAGACACTCATAGACACACACACACACACACACACACACACACACACACATACACACCACAATCTGCTGGCTCCTGATCATGCTCTGGGACTCACCCTCTAGGGATCCTCTGCTTTTAAAGGTCTGTTTTCTCCACTTGCCAAACTTTGGTGATCTATGGACTGGATGACTCGGGTTCTCTTTCTAGTCTCTTCTTTCTTCTATCACCACAGACAGTTTACACATAGCCCACCTATGGTAAGGTTCCCTCAAGAAGGCTTCTCCCTCATCTGTGTCCAGCTCAGGATAGCCCTTGGGTCAGTGGGTTAGGGGGAATAATTTATACTATAAAAATTGCCCCTGCTCTCTGCCCTCAGGACCAGGTGCAGAGGCCTAGCATGGGCACAGGCAGGATGCCCCTGTCCAATGCCTGCTTCTCTTCTCATTGGCCTGTTCTTCCAGGAGTCTGGTTTCAGGATCTGAGTCCTATACAAACTGACTTGAAAAGTAGAAGTCGAAAGGGCTTTCTTCTTGTAGATTGGGAAGCTGACTTTCTGGGACCCCGCAATGAGCAGGTAGAACAAAGTGTTGTTGGACCCCGGCCCGCCCCTCTGTCCACGGGACTCTAGAAGTTTCTGCATCTTCATAGAGATAATAACTCCTACAACCAAACACCTCACTCCCAGTGGGCAGTGTGCTTCTCTTGCTGGCTTCCTGGTTAGGTAGCTTCACCCTTTTCCACTAAGAAGGGTTCTGCGTTAGAGTTTCTCTTACGAGGATAAAATAGTGTGACCAAAAGGCTCATTTCATCGACAGCTCTCAGCTCATCACCGAGAGATGTCAAACAGCAACTCAAGGCAGGAAGAGAAGTAGAGGCTGTGGAGGAGTGCTTTTACTAGCTTGTTCCCCATGGCTTTCTCAGCCACTTTCTTATGCCACCCAAGACCACTTTCCCAGGGGTGGCACTGCTCCTGGGAGCAGAAAACTCCCAAATCAATTTTCAGTCAAGAAATCCCCCATAGAATTGCTTACAGGGAATTCTGGTGGAGACATTTTCTCAATCGAGTCTCTCTTCCCAAATGACTCCAGCTTGTGTCAAGTTGACATAAAACAAACCAAAACAGGTCCTGAGCATCTAGTGAGGTGTCGCAGGCAGATAGTTCCAGTTACTCCACAGAGCTGAAAGGATTGACAGTGGTCTCCCTATATAGTAACGGGATCTGAGGGCACCACTGCGGGTGCTTTGGGATTTATTCAGAATGCCTGGTCTAAGAAAGTAGGGATGGATCCCAGACTGGTAGTCAAGCAAGCTTTCCTTCCTTCCTTCCTTCCTTCCTTCCTTCCTTCCTTCCTTCCTTC